AAAAAAAAAAAAAAAAAAAGCAGAAATCCATGCCCCACTCCTAGAGAGTCTCATTCCATTGGTCTGGGATGCAGCCTGAGCAGTACAATTTTTTTTTTTTTTAAGCTCTGCCTGCAGCTGGGGTTGAGACCTGCTGAGATGCACAAAGCACAGCCAGGTCATGAATGCCATTTCTCATCTTGGATCACTGATAATCAGCACAGAACCTATCATTAAATTAAAATTAAAGCAAATTATGCCTATTATTCACCCAAACCATGGAATTGAGTGAGTATATTGAGATGGAGCAAAAGAGCAATTGAGTGAGTTAGTTAGGGGTACCTTGAATTTAAATGAAGCAGATCATTTTCTAGAATGCCAACAGAAACCTTCATGGGAAATATTTGGCCGATTTCTGCTCTTGTAATTAGGAATGGGACACATTTGACCTGCTGTACTCAATGTGATGTCTCAGAGTATAACTTTTTTGATGAGCCTGAGCTTGGCAAGTACCGCAGGCCAAAAAGCTTCCTGAATTTTTTCCAATGTGTCAACAGAAGGAGCATTGTTCCGGGATGGGATTGAGACTCACTTGATTAGTCGTTAGTCAGCATAATGGGTGCTAAGGGGAATAAGGGCCTGGCTTTGTGTCTGGGCAGGCCACGGGTAGTCTTCTGTATGGGTGGAAGCCTGCAAGCTGCTTCTTCCAGCCTCCTTCATTCTCACAAGATCCTGGCCTCACTCACACGGTTCATCACAGGGAGGACTGATTGGGCTCCATCCAACCGACCTCCCAGACTAGGGAAGAATATTCGAAACATCCCCACGGGCTGTGGCTCCTCCTGCCTTTTCCATCCATGAATAAGATAATGGGGTACTATTCATTCAACCCATATTTATTGATAACTAAGTACCAGGCAGTGTGCCAGGTTCTAGGAAACAGCAGAAGGTTACCGCTTTGAGGGAGAGGTAGATGGTAGAAAATAATTGAAGGGAAACCTCAATGGCGATGGCTTTTAAAATGAGGCCTCTGACCTGGGCAACATGGCGAAGCCTCATCTCCATAAAAAATGCAAAGATTGGCTGGGCGCAGCTGGGCGTGGTGGCCCATGCCTATAATCCCAGCACTTTGGGAGGCTGAGGTAGGTGGATCACCTGAGGTCAGGAGTTCAAGACCAGCCTGTCCAACATGGTGAAACCCCATCTCTACTAAAAGTACAAAAAAATTAGCTGGGCGTGGTGGCAGGTGCCTATAATCCTAGCTACTCTGGAGGCTGAGGTAGGAGAATCGCTTGAACC